CAAACACCCAGGAGCCACAGCAGACACGATGCGGACAGATGTCAAAGGTCAGAAGTTATAAAAAAAAAATGGGTTTTAAATTTTAGTTCTTTTAAAGTTTCTCACTTATAAAAGCTTCTCCTTTCGTTGCTGCTCCCGGAGCCGTTCCGGCAGTTCGGGACCGAACAGCACTTCGGCATCTCCAGACCGAGGCGGTTCTGGCAGCTCGGTTCGGTTCTGTCCAGCTGGTTGTTCTTAACAAGGTGAGTCTGTTCCGCTACTGAAACTTCCCGTGTGTTGTCATCTGGTCGACTGACGATCAGCTGTCGATGCGTGTGACGTCACATGTATGCGACCATCGTTGTATGACAGGCAGTTGTAACATATATTGTATTCAATTAACTTTTAATTTAAAAAAAACGATTAAAAAAACCAGTCATGCTGTTTATTTATATTCTTACTAAGAACATAAAAACACATCTAAAATAAAATTCACCTCTTATTAAAAATATGTATTTTTAAAATTCCTATAAGTTAAAAGTATGTTGCAACCAGTGGAATGGAATGATTTACAGGTGGCAGACCCTGGTCCTTGAGGGCCACGGTCCTGACTCCAGGATGACTGAGTCCCTCTGCTTTCATTCCTTCAGACCAGGTGCGTCCACCAGCAGATTCTTTCTCAAGGACCGCTCTGCGCCTCATCTCCCATCACGGCGGTGTCGCCGACAAACTGGATACTTGAGCTCCTGGAGTGGACCGTTATCGACCGTTCAACAAAAACCGGACTGAAATGTCCAGTGTCACAGCCGAAACTGCAAACATTTAAAATTATTGAGTAAAAAAAAAGGATAGTTTGTTTCTAAAATCACTGAACTGGGTTTTTTAATTCAATAATTTTCTCCAAACATTACACATAATCTTTAAATGATACAGTATATATACATACACGAGTGTATTCGTTTCTCTGAACGGGTGAGGGTCTTCAGACGTTGCAGCTGTGCGTTTCACGTTCTGGACGGGGGGGGTATGGGGGTTAATGGGTCTGACTTTGTACTGAACACTGGAGTGCCACTGC